AAATGTGGCATAATCAAGCCTGCATAACATTGACCGTTACTGTTTAAGACCTTGAGATACACTACAGCTGCTATCACCACAGTGGAAGCATCAGAAATTATGCATACCGTATTTTCCGGCGTATAAGACGACCCCCTACTTTTCCTGGTAAAATATAGGGTTTGGGCTATACTTGCCTTATAAGACTACCCCTCTTCCAATGCACACCAAATAAAAATTAGAAAACATCAGATTTGATTTCAATATGGTATGGTATTTCAGTATGGTATTCCAATGATGGGGTGCTATTCCTCCCACTGACACCAATGATGGGGCACGATTCCTCGCTCTGACACCAATGATGGGGTACTATTCCTCCCTCTGACACCAATGATGGGACACTATTCCTCCCACTGACACCAATGGTGGTGCCCCATCATTAGTGTCAGTGGGAGGAAATAGTACTCCATCAGTGTCAGTGGGAGAAATAGTGTCCCATCATTGGTGTCAGTGGGAGGAATAGTGCCCCATCATTGGTGTCAGAGTGAGGAATCGTGCCCCATCATTGGTGTCAGAGCAACGAATTGTGCCCCATCATTGATGTCAGTGGGAGGAATAGCACCCCATCATTGGTGTCAGTGGGAGGAATAGCGTCCCATCATTGGTGTCAGTGGGAGGAATCATGCCCCATCATTGGTATCAGTGGCAGGAATAGTGACCCATCATTGGTATCAGTGGGAGGAATAGTGCCCCATCATTGGTATCAGTGGGGGGAATAGTGCCCCATCTTTGGTGTCAGTGGGAGGAATAGTGCCCCGTCATTGGTGTCAGTGGGAGGAATAGCGTCCCATCATTGGTGTCAGTGGGAGGAATCATGCCCCATCATTGGTATCAGTGGCAGGAATAGTGACCCATCATTGGTATCAGTGGGAGGAATAGTGCCCCATCATTGGTATCAGTGGGGGGAATAGTGCCCCATCTTTGGTGTCAGTGGGAGGAATAGTGCCCCGTCATTGGTGTCAGTGGGAGGAATAGTGTCCCAACATTGGTGTCAGTGGGAGGAATAGTACCCCATCATTGGTGTCAGTAGGGGAAGGAATAGTGTTCCATCATTGGTGTCAGTTCGGGGTGGAATAGTGCCCCATCGTTGGTGTCGGTGTGGGGGGGGGGGAATAGTGCCCCATCGTTGGTGTCAGTGGGGAGGAGGAATAGTGCCCCATCGTTGGTGTCAGTGGGGGGGAGGAATAGTGCCCCATCGTTGGTGTCAGTGGGGGGAGGAATAGTGCCCCATCGTTGGTGTCAGTGGGAGGAAAAATGCCCCATCATTAGTATCAGTGACACCAATGATGGGGCACTATTCCTCCCACTGACACCAATGACACTTGCTGACCCCTGTTCCAGCATGGTGTTGCTGCAGCCAGCATATGTGGTTGCAGCAGCACTTCTGCACGGCACACTTACCGGCCGCTCCCTCACTCGATTTTCACAGGGCCACTAGGCTCCGCCTCCTCGCCGGTGATTGGATGCCTGTGTGCCTTTCCTGAGCTACAGTTCTGGCGCCCAAACACCGGTGAGGAGGCTGAGCCGAGTGGCCAAACTGAATGAAGGAGAAGCCGCGCTTCCTGGACTGGATCGTCGTGGGACTGGGACCGGAGCCAGGTAAGAAACAGCAGCCCCCTGCCCACCCCTGTACTTAGTGTCCCTTCCGTTGGAAGGGGGGGCGGCGGCGGTGGCACCGCGCTGCCCCCTAAAAAGTGCCACCCTGCCGTGTACCGGCGTATAAGACGACCCCCGACTTTTGAGAAGATTTTCATGGGTTAAAAAGTCGTCTTATACGCCGGAAAATACGGTACTTCTCTTCGCAGTGTAGATATTATTAATACTGGCACATTGGGTCTGGGAAAACTGAGATCTTCAAGATGAATCAAGTCTTCTGCCCATGTTCTCCACTGAGTTTCTCTTTCTGGCGAGAGTGGGGAGCCCAGTCACACTGATCTATTGAGAGCTCTCTAAATAAGGCTTTGTCCTGCATAGTGATCGGGGCTGCAAACCCGAGTGGGCTGTAAAGACTGCAAACTCGAGTGGGTCGTAAAGATACCGCTTCGTGTGTATGGATTCACCTCTCTGGACACTTGAAAGGTAAAACTATCAGTCTGGAAATTCTAACTTATTCCTAAACTCCATTGAAAGGGCATTGGATCTACACTTAGAACAAGGACTTTTAACTTTTTAGCTCTGTCATATGTAGGAAATGCTTCCATTACTCATCTTCTATTAGATGCCACCTTGTGTAGCTTAAGACTGGATTCTGCAAGCATCTCCCTAGCTCTCTGCAGGAGACTGACCGCTTTGGCTTCAGTAGGCACAGATGTAAGTCAGTCATCTACATAGAAATTTCTTAAGATGGACTGTTTTATATCTTCTCCATACTCACTCATTCTCTTGGACCATAAATGGCTATGGAAGGTGAAGGACTATTTCCAAAGACATGTACTTTCTTCCTGAATTTCTTCATTGAAGTCATTATCTTGAAACCAAAGTTAACTCAAGTAGTTGCAGTGATCTTCTCTAACCAAGAAACGTATAAGGACACCTAGCAGCAAATTGTTCAAATCAGGGCCACTAAGAAGTACGTCATTCAATGAGATGCCATTATACTGAGTGCTAGAATCAAAAACTAAAAACAAAAAGGGGGCGGGATCTGGGGGCCCCCTTATTAAAGGGGGCTTCCAGATTCCGATAAGCCCCCCACCCGCAGACCCCCACAACCACCTGCCAGGGTTGTGAGGAAGAGGCCCTTGTCCCCATCAACATGGGGACAAGGTGCTTTGGAGGGGAGCCCCCCTGCTCCACAGTACCCCCCCATGTTGAGGGCGTGTAGCCTGGTATGGTTCAGGAGGGGGGAGCTCGCTCGTCCCCCCCTTATCCTGACCTACCGGGCTGCATGCTCGGATAAGGGTCTGGTATGGATTTTGGGAGGGACCTCATGCCTTTTTTTTTTTTCATTTTGGCATGGGGGCTCTCCTCAAAACCCATACCAGACCCGAAGGGCTTTGTATGGATGGAGAGAGGGACTTCTTGCTGTTTTTTTGTTTTATTTTTTGCCAGCAATTCTTTATTTACATTTAGCTGTCACTGGGGAACCCCGCTGACAGCTGAAACATTACTGCATGGTTTTTACTACTAAAATACGCATGACTTGATAAAATAACTCATGCGGTAGTTTAGTAGCGTTTTATAGTGAATTCAAACTTTTTTAAAAAAAATACTGTGCGGTATCTTACCACATACTTGGATGCGGTAAGATACCGCTTAGTGAATTGTATCCTATGTTACGCTATGTGTCGTGTTCTCTTTGCCTTGAGTAAATGAGCTTGTTAGTGTCCTTTACTATATGGGAAAAGCTGGAAGATAAATCCTGAGGCATTTGCCCATTAAGTGGCTGGTGGAAACTGCTGTTTTTTACCCTTTGGTGAAAGGGAAAGGTGCTGATTGACCTATTATTTACCAAATAGGTCCACAGATCCAGGTGTGAGCAGAGAGTGAATAGTGGTGGTACCCTTCTCCATGATGACACTTTTAATGGATCACTGAATGTAGTACAATATGTCATCATCTCTCCTGGTTCATTTTCACTGGGTGTTTATATATGGACTTATTTCAATGGACTCACTACATAAATTGACGTATGTTATGCTTTAAACATTTTTTTTAGACACTATTTTCACTTTGATTTACTATTTATTCAGTAAATATATCTGTTTGTATAGTTACACTGGTTTAATTACAGTAAGATATAGTGAGGTTTTATTCAGTTCACTGTGACATTACATGCATTGTAGTATTTCAATGTTTTGTTGGTTTGCGCTGCACTTTTTATGTTGATAGTGAATGAACAAAGCAGCCATCTGTTCATTAACCAACTGAAGCATAGTAACCACAGTTTAATATGCTTCATTTATGAATGAACACAGGAGCAATCAGTACCAATTGCTCACTGTGTTCATTCAGGAAAGGAAGGGGCCAGTAAATATGATATATTTACTAGCCCCCTGCTCTCCATTCTGAACTCAATCCTCCTGTGTTCCGCAGCAGCTGCAGTTGGCAAGAGGAAGAGGAGGAGAGCTGGCAGCGCCTTGGGGAAAGGGGGGAGGGAAGCACACAAGGGGATAGGAGTAATGGGAAAGAGGAGCAGTAATCAGAGAGGTGGGGGGGGGGTGGGGTGCCTGGGTGCAGATATTTGGACTGATCGTATTAGTGGAGCCTAGTACTGAAACTCATTCTAGCACTAGGCTTCGGGATTGAGCCTGAATGAATGTGATTCATTAACACCTTGTTTCAATTTGCCTTTTACCATTAAGAAGTTCCATTAAAGACACAAATTAGGATTACATTAGGGAGGGCTAAGACTGCTTCACTTTTAGTGAAGTTGTCCTTTAAATGTTCCCCTCCCCTACATCAGTGGCAGCCATCCTCAAAATATTTACCCCACCACACAGTTTTTGCAGAAAGAAGTCAAGCCCTGTTTATTTAGCTCCAGCAATAGGCTGTAGGTGAACTTTAACAGCACTCATGTGTCCCCTAGTTGTAACATGTGAATGCCAGTCTATCAAGGTAAAAAAGAGCCCTGTGTGATGATGTCAAGACCTGGGCATGTGTTCATGATGACCTGGGCATGTGTTCATGATGACCTGGGCATGTGTTCATGATGACCTGGGCATGTGTCCATGATGACCTGGGCATGTGTCCATGATGACCTGGGCTGCCAAGAAAGGGTTGGATGACTCTGAGCACCATTCAGTCTAGAACAAAGCAGGTGACCACTTTCAGAGGAGGGCAGGCAGAGCACCACTGGAGCATGAAGAAGGTAAGTAGTGCTTTAGCCTCCCTGGAGGTATTCCCGAGTGTAGCTCGGGGTAAAGTTTCAGCACCACAAGCGGTAACCCCGAGCTACACTCGGGAATACCCTGCAGCGTTGCTCCGGTATCTCTTCTTCACTTATCTTGTCCTTCGCTCCCAGGATGTCCCCCCTGCAGCATCCCCGGCAATGTCCTCCGGCGGATGTCGGCATCTGTCTTCCGGGTTCCGTTCCCTACAATGTCAGGACGTACGGGGACAGAACTGGCGGCAAATTTAAAAATGTGAAAAAGTTGCATTCCCTAAAAACACTAAAATCACATAGTAAAACATTACTGTATCAAACCATTTCACATACATTTTGTCCCGAGTGCTTTGTCCTGTGCCCTGCCTGCATTTTTACCGTTCTTTCTGCCTTGAAACTGAGAAACGTCCATGGCGTCCAAAAAGTGTCCCTTTAGGTCAAAAGCTGTTTTAGACCAGCTAGAGAACAGCGATAGTAAATTCAGAACCACTTGCAGAATTGAGTGATAATGATTCGTGTGGGAAATTCGTCATCAGACACTGAAAACGATTTTGCGACTTTGCTCAGTGATGTGCGAACTTGGCGCTATATTTCAAATTTCAGTGTTTTTGGTTTGATTATATTATTGAATTAAATTTATTATTATTATAGTATTATTTTTTATGATTATTTATTCAATTATAATTTATGAATTATGAATTTTAACATACCCGGGATGTTTACTAGACTCTTGTTCGGACAGATTTCAGTGAGTTATACCTAAAAATTACAGCCTACAATAAAAAAAACTACATATTTCCATGCAAAGAAATGTACCGCTTTGAGCACAGAAATACTGACATAATCAGACCGCTAGGGAGGCTACTGCAATAAAAAAAGCAAAAGGGTGAAAATAATTAAAAAATGAAAGTATATGTAGCAAGTGAGAGATCCCTCCAAAGACAGGGTGAGTTAGTATTTACCCCTTGGCTGAAAATAGTAGACGTGTAACAATTGGGTGCCAGTCACTTTAATACCTGTTTAGAGATTTTATTCGACAAAGGGCAAATCATAGAAATAATTCAAAAACCCATACTGTATTGCAGACTCCATTAGCATTTCAGTACAGGCACACTGTCTTTAAGCCATAGCAATCATTCTATACCCTCTCTGTAAGCATCCCAGGCATCACCTTCCAATTTCCAGACACCCATCCTCTGCGAGGCTCATTGCATGCAGGCCTCCAGCAGTATGACCACCAAAGACAGGCAGGCTTCCATTAGCAAACTTCCAAGCTTTGCACCAGGCACAGGCAAACGCCTCCTAGCCACAGGCCTAGCTTGATCACAACACCCTACATACACCCTCCCCAAGCCAAAACCATTGGAAAAGAGCGCTCACAAGGTCAGTCCCCAAATATTTATGTTCTCCCTAGTATGCACCACTGGCAATAAGCCTTCTAGTGCTTGGCCAGAGGGAACATAAATAGCCATAACCCAATATTACTGTGGCTTCTATTACCAAGGTCACACCCCAGCAGTAGCAACATCAACACTGAGCTTAGAAACAAAACTAGCAAAACTAAATCTAGGGCAGGGTAGCTACACATACAGTATGTGTAGCCAAATATTTTTTTTGCAAACAATTATTTTTTGCTGTCTTTGTCTTGTTGTGGAGCTTCCTTTCCAGAACAAATTTGGAGGAAATCTTTGCAAAGTGTCAGGGATTTTTCTCATAGTTGTCAATGGAACAGATGTTCCCATTGCAAGATTTACTATTACCTTTTATTCTGACAGCAACTGCAAAATTTGGGATTTCCATCATTTCCATCTTGGTGACAATGGACACCAGGACAAATAGAGAAATCACACACAGGTTCTAATCCTTCCCAGCAGAAGGCAGTAGCAACAGCAACACTGAACTTTACTCTGTTTACCACCAAGTATGACTAAATTTAAGACAGAGTGGCTACATATTCAAAATGTATAGCTAAAAAGTTGTTTTTCTTTCGTAAATTACTATTTTTTACTGACTTTGTCTTGTTGAGGAGGTTTCGCTTTAGTTCCTGTCCTGGAAACACAGCAGAAATTTAGGAGAAAGTTTTGCAATGTTAAGGGTATTTATCTCTTAGTTGTCACTGGAAAAGGTGTTCACAATGGAAGATTTACTGTCATCTTTTGTTTTAACAAGTTTTATTTTTGGAATTTTCCATAATTCTCCATCTTCGTGACAATGGACACCAAGACAAATTGAGATATTGCACAGGGGTTCTAATTCTTTCACACTTTACCCAAAACGTAAAAAAAAATAGCTATACATACACTTTAAAAAGGAAGTTGGAGTCGGACTTCAAATATCTGTTTTTGATAGACTTAACCTTTAAGAGGGCTAAAACGACAATCTGACCTTTTTAAGTTGGCCAAGTAAAAGGAAGGAAAGTCATATTATTTGCATACATAACTTGGTAAATGTTACCTACCCTTATTTTAAATAGTCATCTCTTTAAGAAAATACATAGATCTGATCCCTGCTTTTGAACTGTCACTCCATTCTGATCTGCCTAAATAAACAAAAGACATGTGACATGTGTTTAAATTCTCTAGTTTAAAGCCACTCGATACCTTAATATTTAGCCCCAGAGTTAATTCCCTCCCTTATGGCTGGATGGAACAAGAGCCCCAACATCAAACAAGAACTTTTATTGGGGATGGCAGGTAACAATAACACTTCTCAAGTTCTGCAGACAGTGCCTGCAGAGCAGACGACGGCTTCAGCCGTTACTCGGTATAAAGCTATGCGTGCCGAGGAACGTGATATCGGCAGGACGGTGCCCTGTCGTAGAGCATTAATATGAACCTGTGAGGACAGAAATACGGGCGATGCTGTTTCTTACATTTCTTAAAGGTGCAGGCCCTGGTGCTGCCATCTTTATCCTGGCATTTATATCTTGTGAGTCGTTGGATGAATACAAGTATGGAGCCAGGGAAGTATGAAAAGTCTTTAGCAAGCCATGAAACAGGATAGTTTGCAATGTTAGCTTTTATGCTTATGCTCCAGGGTTTCGGCACTTCTGGACTGGCTGCAGGTGAACCAGTGGGACTTTCTTCATCTGGATCAGCTGGTGCCTGAGGCCTGGCTCAATGGGAGGTAGATATCACTCAAAGGGAACTTCTCAGACTGGCGCGATATCCACTGAGCCTTAGGAGGATGCAGTGGAGACGCTTTTTGACTGGTTCAGGACCTTCTGAGATCACATCGTACACAGGATTCAGTGGAAATGGTTGGTTCTCCACCTGGTACAGGGTTCGCTCCCACTTGGGCTCCAACTCGTTGCTTCTTTCACAGTTTTTTGTTCTCTCTCTTGGACTTGTCAGTATCCACCCGCCAGGTCAATGGTGGAAAAGTAATGAACCTAGCCCAGCACCATGAATGATTCCTTCACCCATGGTAGAAGGTAGGTATTCCCATGGGTGCAGTTATTCAGTTTGTGGTAATCCAGACAGAACCTCAAGCTGCCATTCTTTTCCATACCAGGATGACAGGGACAGCCCACTACTCTCTTTGATTATCCCACTCTACAACATATTGTGAATTAGGTCCCTGGCCTCCTGAAAGCTGGTGATATATTGATGGTATCTTTCCCAAATAGGAGGGGCATCCCCCACGTAGATTGGGTGGTTTATTGCCTCACTGCACCCATAATCCTTTGGACTAGTCGCAAACACTAGTAAATGTCTTTCTACCAGGTGGTGGAGAAGTTGTTGCTAGGGCAGTGGATATTCCTGAAAGGGGATAGCCAGTTGGTCTAGTAGCTTTTGGTACTGTTCAACATTCAACATTCAGGGAGGTCATGGCAGCTTGCAACGGGGCACATATGGCCTCCACCCCTGTTTGGGCCCCTGATATGCAGTGTTTGGGTACCACGTAGAGGTCCACAAGGGTTGTGTGATTCGGGAGTGGGATAGGGGTGGTTTGCAAGTTGATCAACTGGACCAGCACTTTACCCCAGGGTATCTTAGACAGGGTCGTCAACCACTCCCCCAGTACCCCAAGGTCCTTGAGGGGTTTCACCATAATAATGGCCCCTTGTAGCTTATTGTGGGCCCCAATGGGCAAGGACCAGACAACCTCTTGGAGGGGAGCCAGTTATAACTTCTGCTTGGGAGCTGCGCAAACAACACCACGGTAGAGAGGTACCAAACAATACACAAAGGTCATGTGTTAGGATACATGAGTCACATCGTGGTGTTACAAAGTAGCAGAACCAAAAAAAAGAAGAAAAACAGCATAACTTAATTGCGGGTACATCAAAAACATAAAGAGGGCGAAATGCGCCAGCGGGAAAATTGTTTTCATATCATAAACAATGCTAGCATGACTCCATATCTATTTAGTTGGTCACAGTCTATAAGGATAATTGAATGGAAGAAAAAAAGAAAAACGAAAAAAAAAAATACGACTTGGGGGTGTCAGAGCCTGGGTCTGAACCTGGGCCGTCGGCGGTGAGTGACAATGTTCTTTTTGCTGAGCCGCCCGGAATGCTGGACAGCTCCCTTGACAATTATTTAAATGATCCTGCCTTGACCTTGTTTGTCATGAGCCTTGAACCCTTTGCTCCTCCCATGAACTTCCTGATATAGGCCATGTCTCTGGACTTGCTCTTTGCCAGATTATTGTGCTCTCTCCAGCCAGTATCTCGCTCCTTGCCTTCTCTGCTGTCATCCATACTTTGCTACCACTCATTATTGACCCTTGGCTTGTTCTTCGACTACGCTTCTGCCTGATCCCAACCTGCGACTGCTCATTACCAACCTTTGGCTTGTTTACTGACTATGCTTTTGTTTGATCCTTACATGCTCATTACGCTACTGGGCCTCCGCTTGCTCACCTCCTGGTGGGGTAATCCTGAGGACTGCAACCTGGTGATAACACGCAGTAAAATCCATCTCCACCATCAGGAGCTCTGGTGAACACCGGTTAGTACTTAGACTCCGTACCTCAGGTGAGCCCACTCCTCCACCATAGTGACCTTCCTGTGTACCTATCCTGCTGGTTTCAGGTGAGCCTTTCCACTGCCTTCGAGCCTGACCCTGATCATGACAGGAGGCCTAGAGGGAGAGTGGAGGAGCAAGAAAAGGAAAAGAATAGGGAGAAGGAGAAGAGGTTAGATCAGGACAAAATACGAGGGTAGCAACCACAGGACCTGGGCATATATACCCATGAAACTCCAAAGGAGTGCATGCCATTTATGGGGTAATACAAAAAATAGACAGAAAATAATTGTAGATGAACAGGACCTACTCAGCAATCTAAATTATTCATGTATCCACCATACAATCGCAGAGAGACAAAATCCATGGGGTGAAATAGGAGAAGCATAAGGGAAATCAGGAGTTTTCAGAGTGTCTGAGGAAGTGAAATGTATCCATATATAACAAAGAGTTTGTCAAATGTGTCAGTATCTAGGGCTAACATCTCCTCCATTCTCATGTTGTAATTGACTGTAGATACCCATTGCAACAG